CCGTGGTCTAGGCAACACGGAGTTTTCCTCCGTGGCATCCCAACAATTACTCCATTCACACACAGAAGAAGGCAATGGCAAACCACTTCTGGATCATCTGCCAAGAACGTATATGAACAGGTCCCAGTCCGAGAAACGGATGGAAGGATCCAATTCATATGGACCTGTCGCCAGACAGAACACTAAATAAATAATAAATGACCAGTTCCTCTCTCTTGGGCCTGGAATCTTTACAAAAAAGAAGAATCCGCTTTCTTAAATTAATTACAAAACTGATTTTGAGGTCACTGTGTCGTTCGTGTTCAAATATCATTTCAGAATTATATCCTCACATTCCTTCAGAAACCTTTTCAGCCTCCAGCGACCCCGCGGCACACAGTTTTGGAGGCTCTGCACGACACAAGACAACCCATTTTCCCCGCAGTGATCGTTGGATTAACGTACTGCTTGGTATATACTCTTGCCATCTAGTGAGATAATTTTGTACGACGTATTGCTTTCAGTTTCATATTATGATCGCCAGATGGTGGTAGAATTGCGTGATGGCGGCTAAACCCGGGGAAATTCAAAACATTACTTAAATGCAACGGTTTATGAAAATTTGTTTTATTGCACTGGCAGAAGGTTTCAGACTCCGGCTCGATACATAAACCGTTTTTTCACAAGACGAGTTCACAGAGCATTCACACTAATCCATTTTATTCATTGTTTATACGTAGTGAAGATTATCACTTACCGTTATCTACTGCCGAGGTTAAAAACGCGTGATGCCATTACCTTCCCTGATTTCCCTACTCGAATTCGCTTCGTGATTCTTGAAAGCCCGAGGACGTCGCTTTACACCTATCGATGTTTTGTTTTGGAGGGAAATCGATCTGGACCAAACTATAAAGATCTTTAATTAAATAATAAAAATATAACTCAGAACAGATTTTAATAGCATAACTGTATGTAGGGAATTGAACAAATAAAATTTATAAGCAGTGGAGTTGTGACTTCCGATCCTAAAGTGTGCGAGGAGATTTTTAAAATGGATCAAAAAGGAAAGATGTGAGATTTATTTTTTGATACAACAGGTGCAGGACAGTGTCCGGGATAGTACCTTCATTCAACAAAGGGCGGTGAATTTGTTAACGAGTGATCATTAGAATCTCCAGGACACTGCTCCGTGAACTACGTAACGTTACTGTTATATTCTAAGTTTCCATATTTCGTTACTGCAGTGCCATCTCGTGTTAGAAGCAGAAACTACTTGCTCCCTTCTGCGAGGCTACAGACCGTACATTTACACACAGATCACTTTCAACGTTTATTTACTGAGGGTCTCCTATCACAGTTACTTCCCATTGCACAACGTTAATTTAAACTGTCATCTAGATCAGTATTAATCAAACTTTAGTAAAGTACCACCATGTTATTTAAAATTTAAATATTAATAATCTCATACTTTAATTCCGTGTTAGAGTATTTTAATGAAGCTAATAAAGCCACTGAATTATTCTTGAGGTACGAGGTTCGAATTTCAAACGGGGAACCGCCTGTTCAGTTTCAGTTGGATTTATTTCAGTCTCTGTACAGAAAACTTGAATTAAGCTACGTTCATTAGTTTCCATTATTTTGTTATACAGCATATGCACTACGAAATTCACATCATCATCATCATTATGGGCCAGCACTCTTGATTTAGAGCTTCTACGTTAAACAGCCTGAGCTATTGACAGCGTAGTTAAATAAAGAATAAATTTATTTAGAGACAGATATATGGGATTATATTCCGTGCTACAATATCCACCACGCGTTTAGAACTTAGCAAATTAGGATAAACACTTGAAATAATACAATAACTCTGGTTTTGAAAGCTTTAATAATACAGCTGCATGTCATAACATTTGTTCCCTTCGACAATCTTTTTGTTTCATGTTGGTTTTCCTTTCATATTTAAGTTGTCCTCTAGTGTGATCTGGTGTAGAACCTTCATGCCACTCATGTGAAATTTTCCTCTATCACTTTCATTAGTCTACTAAGACGTGGTGTTACCAGTGTGTTCCTGCACCGTATGCAACACGCAGGACTTTCTCTTAAACAAACCGAGAACGGGATAGTACGCTCTGAACTGAAAAACGTAAAATTGTTCCAAAATATATACACCGAAGCACGTATTCTTAACCTAAAAATTAAATAGAATGGTTATCAATGGTCAGATTTATGCTTCGGTCGCTTTGCACTGGAGGATAGAATTCCCGTACCAGATGGATAAAATGCTGGATTATTATTATTATTATTTAGTGTTCTGTCTGACGACAGGTCCATATGAACAGGATCCTTCCATCCTTTTCTCGGACTGGGACCTGTTCATATACGTTCTTGGCAGATGATCCAGAAGTGGTTTGCCATTGCCTTCTTCTGTGTGTGAATGGAGTAATTGTTGGGATGGCACGGAGAAACCGGGGAAGCCCCCGGAGGAAAACTCCGTGTTTCCTAGACCACGGCCTTGCCCAACACAAGTTATAAATTCGGGCACCGCCAGGAATCGAACCCGAGACCCCAGGATTACAAGGCCAGCGTTCTAACCGCTAGACGACACAAAATTCCTGAACGTGCTAACGAGGAAAAAAGCAATCCTCGCTCCTGCCGGGAGTATAACCCGGTCATCACGCCCGTAGGCAATTTGAATGAGCTGATGTATGACATATGTATAAAGAAATTTATGTTTGTGAAGTTAGTCACTAACTTGCCGTGGTGCAACCTCGACTTTTCTCGCTGGGCCGTAGATCAGGAACTTAGCAATGTTTAGATAAAAGCTTGCCTGTCCGCCATCAGTCGTCTGCGTCATGACCAGTAACTCGATATCACACACAAAAACCCAGACCCTGGAACATATCAGCCCGTCACAGAAATATGCAGCCCGCACACCTTCACTTGAGAATTCTGTCTCATAGCCATCGTATCTGTCACTATAAATACAACGGCTGATATTTTAATACTAGAACAGATGTGCGCGCTGCTAAGACGTTCGTTTGGTTATTTGTGCAGTGGCTTGTACACCTGCAGCCTGTTCACTTTTACCGCAATTCTGACTTAAAGACACTAGTTCGTATCCTTCCGCATTACGATAAATAGTGGTCCATCAAGCACTTATTTCGTTCCTGTCAAGTACAGGACAGTCTGTTTAGCTTTACAAGTCTAATTATCAAAGCGCGAACATACGCATTTCTCGGGTAATTTTCATTTTTCAAGATAATTTTAATTTTAATTGGTTAAGAATCCCGGTATTAATATATCATATTTATGCCGTCATTTACTTACGTTGGTACTAATTTAGTCAAAATGGATGCCTTCCATGTCCGATGTTCAACTTCTACAGCACTTCCATTGACTGAAACGATCGAGTCTTAATAGAGTACATTTGGTAAAATAGTTTTCTCGGCGATTTACATAGTTTGGACTTGTATTTCGCTCTTGATGATAGAGTCTGTCATGTAGACAGCTTTGTTGTAAAAATTGTGAAGAATATAATTTTATAATGTTGTTGGCACGGCTTCTCTAAAAATGGTTAAACAGTTGGAAAAGTAATTTTTTCGCAACTTTTCGAAAGCAATGTCCGCCTTGGTTGGTACACCTAATGACGGGGCTATATGAAAAGAGCAATGTAAAAATGGAGTTGCTTGTGAACGGACTGATTTGGATTTCCAGAACGAATACGTCTATTAAAGACTCATAAATAATTCCGACATTGCTGTGTTTTTAAGAGTCCGCCACTACTCGATGTCATGGGGTAGATATATCCAGGCCAAATTCTCATACAGGATGCAGTTTCTTTAAAAATAAATTTAGTCTTATCCGTCTACTTCTAGGTCTTGGAGGTACCTTCTTTCTTGCAGGGTACTCGAGAGACGAGTATATTTTTCTACATGTCCTTTCCCAAAACTACGAAGCCCGTCTGTTTTAATCTTTCCATTACTTTTCTTGGCTTAGGTCTATACGTGTCCTCGAAAATTTGTTATAAGAGACCTTTAACTTATGTTCTGTGGAGAGAATGAACACACTATAAATGGAGAATAGTTAGATGACAAGACCATTCATGTGGAAATATACACGTGTTCATTACAAATTCTGAATTCTGAGGCTTCTATCTGAAATATTAAAAATTAATATTGATAAATATTACGCCACGTATTTTAGTCCGAATATATAAAAATCACGTGGTATTCTTTAAACATTTGTAAATCGATATAAATGCGTCGCAAGGTGCGTCTGAACTGTAAGGTAACATGTCCATCGCAGCCAGACACATCGTAAAATGACGTCTATCTTTACAGACTCCCAACGTCGCTACCCGTTAGCGGACCGACGCCAAGAGTCAGGACGCCTATTGTCATGACATGTTTGACACTAGTAGACTTCTCTTTTTTCCTGAATTCAATAAATATTTAAACTCTAAGTATAGGCGTAATTAGGATAGAAACTCTATATATGATAAAACTGCAATGAAGACCTTTAAAAGATCTTAGAGGTTTTGTTGTAAGAAAACACTGTTAATGGAAGGAGAGAGGAAGTCAGATAATGTATGTTTCTTGGGAAATATCACAGATTATATAAATCTGTAAGACGTATTTTGAGGAATTAACATAACATTAACCAAAAGAAACTAATGGCTCTATTTTAATGTGCCTTTACCGTTTTAAACGGATTCCTTCTCTAGTAACTACAAAAGATTCCTGTACTTAAATATTTTATACAAGACAGTTTTATCAGTTGTTAAAATTTGGTAGCGAATGTTTGAAAGCATTTCAGGTTTCTTTAAAACAGACTTATATGACCAGTTCTTTGTGGTCAGATATCAAATGTAGAGCGTTCAACCTGACTGCGAGATCACAGTTTCTGCTAGAATATACAGAATGCACAATTTAAAACTCAACCCAACAACAGTCATGTTCCACGGTTCAAAAATAAAATCAGAACAGGTCCACCCTAGTACAACAGGTTATCCAAATGTCCCTGGTGACACCCGAGTCAAGATCACCCTTGCTGCTAGACCCCTGCAAAAGTTGCGCAGGTGCGAACATCGTGTATTCGCCAATGGAACGTAAGTTCATCCTGAAACATTGCTAAGCATCGAACTCCTTTGCTGTTTTTAATAAACCTTTTAGCAATGTACATCCTGAGAAGGAAGTTCCGAAAAGAACAACAATACACCGACTGGTAATAACATTACGAGACACAGGAAGCATTTGTCTGTGTCAAGTGCTCATCGAGAGACAAAACAGCCGAAATTACGGCCGTACCGATTTGCATTATCTGCAGCAATGAGATGAGGCTCTAAGAATTCAATATTTCCGTTGATTTCATCGTTTCATCGCGTTAAAGGGTCATGTACGAGTATAATAGTTGGGGTTGCGTTTTAAATTGAACATCGTATACTGGGTGTCACAACGACTGCAAAACTATAAAATCTGTCTGAGCCTCGTCAGTTCGTCGACTTCGATTAGATTTTAATGCGAAAAGTCACACTAGCACTCTTTACCATGTCCTGAGAGAGTTCTGCTCCACATTTGTCGTATGCCTGCCGTAGTGCGGTTGTTCCTGCATGTTTGTGTACCCTTCAAACGATGGAGAGGGAGTTTCAAACTTGTGAGGTACCAGGTTCGAATAAGCAGGCGGAGTTTGTCCCAGGTAATGAGAGGTCCCCGAGTAGTTCTTGGTGACGAGGTGATTCCCCGATGGAGTGGGTTTACCATCCCGCACGAGAACTGGCACTGCGATGCGACGCGGCTGTTGCTGGAACTTGCTGGCACTGATCGTTCCGTCCAGCAGATGCCTCTGTCTTTTGTTTTTGTAGCGACGATTCTGGAACCAGATCTTCACCTGGGTTGACGTGAGCTTCAAAGCGTTCGCTAGATGTTCGCGCTCTGGGGCTGACAGATACCGCTGCTGCTTGAAGCGTCGCTCCAGTTCGTGAACCTGGGCCTGGAACACAAAACAAATTTCCTGAATGCAGCCTCAAGCTTTGCGCTTTTCCAGATTCCATAGCAGGACCACTGTCTGACGTTTAATTTTGAATAAAGATGGAATAATAAAATTGTAAATTGCAATGTACATAGAAGTTTGGTTTCAGTAAAAGTGCCACAGCAATGACGCTATCGGTTACCTTAGTCCGGTTTAGTGTCTCTTTAGCAAGAACAAATTAATTTACGTAATATTTACTTCTTGAATTTGAGAATTCTTTGATCGAACTTCGCTGTCGGTTTTAAATTATCGTTTTATTTGAGAGGTTCTGAGTTTGACTCGGACAGTGACTCAGTCTTTATGGTTTTCTTCACAACCTCAGCCACATTAGGCGTAAATCGTACTTTAAATAGACCACGACAACTTCCACTTCACTTACAACTCGTATTTCAGGACCATCTTACCTTCGGGGCCGCATGACTGCATAGTTGAGAAACGACGTTAAATAAGCCAGGTTTCAGTAGACAACTAAAGACGTATAAAATGTAGACCTATGTGCGAGATATTTTGTTTGTGTATGTGAGTAAATAGCTAGTTAATAACGCTATAACAACTTCACAGGTTAATCAGAGAGTCACAACGGACGAGAAGATTGTGTGTGCAAAGGACTGGACAAGATACGGTCTCGAACTTTCTGACTGTGCTATGCCGACATTCGCTTGGATACTCGTAAGGTGAGCAGTATCTTCTTTAAGTAACTTCCAGTAATTAATTGTCGTATTTATATTATATACTTCCGACATGACTTAAAATTGGTCTCTTCTCAAAGGTATAGTCATTTTTCTGACATTGTGGTAGATTTATATTATCATGGCCCATTTTTCTCAGTTATAGTAAACGTGGCATTGAGAATGAACATGATTGCTAAATTTGGGGCATTATCAGCTTCATAACAAAATATTTATTATTAAATAAGTAAGTAAAATGCGGTAATTTACTTCTTCCTTCTTATCAGTTACGTGACCGTCGATTTCCTTACCTGTGAAAATAGGACTCGAGGCTTTCGCTTTACTCTCTGCCGATGACCTGTCGATTGCCCTTTCCTTATGTCCGACTTACCACCGTTCACTTGTGTTCCTGAAATCAGACACAATAAGGATATACATTTTGTAGAAAATATCATACAAATCGCGACCCAACCACAAAAAGATACTAAAATTAAATCTGAAGCAGGTCCATCCTCGTATGAAGACTCTGGACACTATCTGAGTTAGTTGAACTCAACCCACACTATGAAACCCTGTTTATTTTATATAAATTTCATTATTATCCTACTCTCTACGCACATATATCCGAAGTGGTTCTTCGCTTCAGACTTTCCGACTAAAATTGTGTGTATTTTTCATTCCACGTATCTACTGCAATTCCCAATTACGAGGTGCGATCGGAAAGTTTCAAGACTGCGCGTATAAAAAAA